ACAGGCCACCTCCATTCATAAATTAACCAGGAAAAGTTAACCTTTGCCCTACTCAGCCATGTGGGGGCCACAAAGCACAATCCTGCCGTGTGTCAAGAAAGCAGAGAGCTGGAAATATTTGATAAAGAAACTATCATACATTTTCTTCTGCCTATTCTGTGCTAGGCCCTGAATTAAGGGCCAGGGACACAGGAATGAATAAATCATGGCCCCTTCTTAAAGGGCTCCCCATGACCATGGTATAAAACCAGTGCTATGATGGGTCCACTGAGAGTCTGCTGTGTCTCAGAACAAAGGAACGTCTAGATTAGGGGTCACCAACTCAAATGCCTACAGGGACCAGGAAGCTAATGTTAACAAGTGGGGAAGGGAGGAGAGGTGTTTCAGCTAACTGGAAAATGCAATTTTAAAAACATACCTGCTTCTGGCCGGGTACGGTGGCTCATGCCTGTAATCCCAGCACTGTGGGAGGCCAAGGAAGGTGGATCACTTGAGGTCAGGAGTTCAAGACCAGTCTGGCCAACATGGTGAAACCCCATCTTTACTAAAACAAAAATTATCTGGGCATGGTGGCGAATGCCTGTAATCCCAGCTACTTGGGAGGCTGAGACAGGAGAATGACTTGAACCTGGGAGGCGGAGTTTGCATTAAGCCAAGATCGCGCAACTGAACTCCAGCCTGGGCGACAGTGAGACTCTATCACAAAACAAAACAAAAAACAACAAACCCACCATACCTGCTTCCAATTGTCAGGCAGATGGCCCAATGTTTCTAGATCTCTCCAATTTTCATGAGAAGCCAGAAAACCGAATTTTTACATGACAATTTCCCATTTTTTAAATGTTGGCAATTATTAAACTTAACCAGATACATACACACATATATAAAATCCCATAAGGCAAAGACAACACGTCTGCAGGTCAGCACCATGAGGGCCAGTTTATGTCCCCCAAATCCAGCACAGGGAGCAACAGTTTCCTGGGCTCTGTGTTGGTCTGTCCACAGCAAGACTGCTATCTTCAGCCATGAGCACTGCACCTAAAGGGATACACATGAGCTGGGGTTGGTGCACAGGCAGGTGGGCAGGATGGGAGGAGACTTTAAATAGTTCAATTCCCCTTAATATTTTCAAATAGCCTTCTGTATGTCAAGCCCAGTGCTACGTGCTGGAGATGCAGAAGAAAACAAGACAGAAGCAGCTCTACTCCTGCAGAGCCTATTGCCTTGAGAGGAACTCAAAGGATCTAGGATAATTTCCCTGGAGAAGGCTCATGGAAGACAGATGGTAATTTCCCTGGAGAAGGCTCATGGAAGACAGATGGTAATGATAAGGTTTACTGAGCTTTCACTCTGTGCCCACAATACCCTCAATGCTTTACCTATAATTATGTCACCTAATTTTTACCACTATCCTTGTTTCATGTAATGAAACTGAGGTTCAGGAAGGTTAAGTGAATTAGCCATTACAACTGTGTACAGATTCTCTATGCTCCAGAAAAATAGAACAGGCTGTCAGAGGACAGCATGTACTTAAGAGGTTAACACAGTATGACAGTATGTGGCATTATAAATAAGTGCTGAGTACGTGCCTATTTCTTTTCCAGTCTGTGGAAGCATTCAATAACAAGTTGTATGGTCAATTGTTAGGGTGACTAGAGAGGGAGGCTGAGTACCAGACAGGTAGAAACACTGTGCAAGGCCTTCCATCTATGAGAATCTAACTCCACATCTCCTAGAATAATTATTTCCCTTTTTGGCAGTAATAACACAATGTAATTATCAACGACTCCTCATTCCCACCCCCTCATAGCAGCAGTGGCCCTGTGGATGGAAAACTAATGCCCAGGAAGAATATGGACCAAATTACAACCATCACGCAACTAATATTGATGGAATGGCCATGGCACATAAACCATATTGTTCCAAGCTCTAAATCAGTGTGCACAGCAGGAAAAGAGCATGAGAAAGGGGATTATAACTAAGACTCAGTGCTGGCTTTGGCATTAATTTACTTTGACTTTGAGAAGTTTCTTTTCCTAAGCTGTGGTTTCATCTCTTAACAATGAGGACTCAAAAGTCCTTTTCAGCTTGAATAATTGATATAAATTATTTGCATTAAAAAATCAGACCTCAGATGTAGGAGGATTCACCTTTCTTCCTAGAAGCCAGTGAGACCACAGAACCCTGGAAACTCGAAAGGACTTTAGATGTGAGACTGGCTGGTCTAAGGCACCATTCTCATATGACCAACAAGCACTTTTAAAACACAGCTAGTCCAAAATGAGGTGTGCTATAAGTGTAAAATACACACTATATTTTGAAGACTCAGCATGAGGAAAAAAATGTGAAATCTCTCAAGGAAACATTTATATTGCTTTATATTGATATTTTTGTATATTAGGTTAATTAAAATTAACATGATAGACCAGGCATAGTCCAACATTATAGACCAACCTGTAGTCCCAGCACTTTGTGAGGCTGAGGCAGAAGGATCTCTTGAGCCCAGGAGTTTGAGACCATCCTGGGAAACATAGTGAGACCCCATTTCTAAAAAAAAAAAAAAAAAAAGAAAAATTAACATCACCCATTTCTTTTACCTTTTTAGCATGGATCCTAAAAAATGTCAAATTACAATGTGGCTTGCCTTATATTTCTATCAAACAGCACTGGTTTAAGGGAAAACTGAAGACCAGAGAGAAAACAACTTTTCCACAGAAGCAGAACTGGAAACAAGGTCCCCTGCCTTCTCAAAGTTCTTTCCACTCTTGATAGGTTGTTAATAGCCATTCTTCAAGATGGTCCCTAATAATCCTCACCTCTTGTCACCCTAGTGAAGTCCCTCCCACACTGAACAGGGCTCATCTGTTAGAAGACTACAGAAATGACTGTGTGACTTCTGAGGCTGGGTCATCAAAGACATTATGGCTTCCAGTTTGTCTCTCTTTGGTGTGACTTGTTGTGGGGGAAGCCAGTTGCCCTGTCATGAAAACAATCAAGCATCCCTATAGAAAGGTCCTCATGGTGAGGAACTGAGGCCTCCTGTCAACAACCGTAACCAGCCAGGCATGTGAGTGCACCATATAGGGAGCTGACCCTCCAGCCCAGCCAATCCTTTGAATGACTGCAGTTCCAGCTGACATCTTAACTGCAAGTTCGTGGGAGACCCCAACCTAGAAACACCCAGCTAGGCTTCCCCCAAATTCCTGACCCACAAACAATGAGATAATCAATGTTTACTGTTGTTTTAAGTCACACAGCGACAGATAATACGCAGGCTTGCAGGCTTACAAACTTAGAGGTCTCGTAAGAAAAACTCCCTTCTATCTTTGGCATTTGTACAGTATGAGAAATTGTTCTTGTTCTTCCTCCAGTCTTGGGCCTAGTTCAGAGTAACCCAACTAAAAACTGCTAAATTATCAAACTTGAGGAGTCAAACCCAGGAAAACAAGATCCCATTTTATTCTTTGAAGGTTCTTCCCATTTCCCTTTATTGCAGAAAGAACCCAGGTCTCTTGAGAATGAAAAAGCACCACATCACATCACCTTCACCTGGGCCTTTCAGATTTGATTCCCACAAAACCAAAGGAACTAGAGCCCAGAATTGCCCAGTTAGACATAGTATTGAGGAAGTAACAATTGAGAAATGACAATCTATGACATCTGAATTTCTCTGGGACACTGCTGTCAACAGTAGTACTAATATTTTACACAGTGTGTGTTGCTTTTCACATTGTTTTCACATCAAGTATTTCTGGGGGGAGGGGAGCCATAAATAAAACAGGATACATATGAAAACAGTGGCTCAGGGCTCATGATTTGTCCTTTGTTTCATCATCAGTGAATGACAGGCCAGGTCTAAAATCTGGGTTTCAGTAGGTGACTCAAGTCAGACTTGGTGCTTGCCAAGGCAGGAGCATCCTGGCTGTTATGAGTGCTCTTCAGCTGGGGCTGTCCTCTGAGATCAGTGTGCACTTGTAGATCTCCTTAAAGGCCACAAGGAAGGGTGGCATTATTTCATCCACGGTGATGTGCGTCTGGAGCTCCTTACTCAAGGAAGTGACACCTGTCCCAACCAGCCCGCAGGGCACGATGTGCTCAAACCATGTGAGGTCCGTCGAGCAGTTGAGAGCCAGGCCGTGGGATGTGATGTGCCTTCCACAGCGGACTCCTGCAAGGCAAGTCAAGGGGTCTTAGAGTAGACACCCTGCACTTCCCGGGCTTCGGGATCCCTCTCAGGGCGATGAGAGAACTGGACTAGATCACTGGTTTTCAATTTTTGTTTCTGAGAAACAAGGGGTTCTGCGCAGATGGGAAAAGAAAACAAATGAAGGGAAGGGGTACTTGGCTTCAAGGAAGCTGCACTTATCATGAGGATTCCAGAAAATGTGTTTTAACACAGATTCCGATGCTTTAAAATAAAATTGAAAATTAGCACTTATTGTCATAACGTTGTGATTCCCAGGAAATAACCTGGCAATTCACCTCTCCAGTCTCTCCATTCACATTAAGCGTGTTGGACTAGATGACGAGAGGAGCCTTCTGCCTCTGAATATAAGATATCTGTGAAGAAGCTTAAAAACTCAAACGCTTCAGTGAGTTTTCTGTGGTAAAAACAAAAACAAACAAACAAACAAACTGAAACGCAGCGGGTAGTTGTAATTCAAAGCCGCGCTAGATACGTCTCCTCCCGGCTCGAGCTCTACCCTCGCCTCCTTTGGTCCAGTCCCGTCAGACCCCGCCCCCAGGCCTCAAGCTACGCCCCTGGCTCTCAGGTCCCGCCCCGCCTCACGGCGCTCACCAATCGCGCAGATCTTGCGCTCGTCCAGCCAGACTCCGGTGTAGGGCGGGGGCCGCGCGCGGGCGCCCTGCAGGCCCTGGAGCTCGCACAAGCGCACTGCGCACGCCTCCAGCGCCGCTACGTGCTTGCGCAAGCGCAGGCCGAAGCGCCGCAGGTCGAGCACCGGGTGGCAGAGCAGCTGGCCTGGGCCGTGGAAGGTGGCCAGGCCGCCGCGGCCTGTGACGCGCACCTCGGCGCCTAAGGCCTGTAGCCGCGCAGTTTCCTCGGGCGTGAGGCCGCCGCGCAGTCCGGTAGTGTACACGGGCCCTGCGGGCTCGCAGAGCAGGAGTGCGCCCGCCTCAGTCCCCGACAGGCCCTCAGTGCCTAGTTCGGTCTGTAGCCGCCGCAACCAGCGGTCCTGCAGCCCCAGCAGCTCGGTGTACGGGACCCGACCCAGACGCACCAGCCGAAGAGCCGGTTGCTGCATCGCGTCCACCGCTGTGTCCGCGGGGCCCCGCCCTCTGCTTGAGCCTGGGGCGTGGCTTGAGGGGCGGGGACGCAGGGGTGCACCCTGAGCCGCGGCTCCCAGGTTCGTGTCAAAAGGTGGAAGAGGGGGCTGTGTGATCCCACGACCCAACTCAGGGTAGGCCTCATCCATTCATTCAACAACCAGTATTCAGTGCCTCCTATGTTCTGCAGGGCCTGCTGTAGGCGCTGGATACAGCGTTGCGTAGCGTACGAGAAAGATCTATCCTGGTAAGCTTACATTCTTACAGCAGACGTTAAGTAAGTGTTAAGTAAATAAGGTTATTTCACTTATAAGGTGTTAAGTGCTATGAAAATAAAAATAAAACAGGGTAACGTGTGTGTCCTGGGTTGAGCCCCTGGGGGATGCAAGAGGGTGATTAGCTTTCCTACAAGATTATTTGTGGGGGTAAGCAGAACTTCAAGATCAGCACCTATAAGAAAGTGAAGGAAGCAAGAATTTGTAGGCAGAGGGAGAAGCCTGCAAAAGCAGTTGCAGCAGAGGCCTTGACCAATCTCAAGGGATGCTCTGAGCCTAGGATGACCCTTCAGAGTAGTTCCAAATTAAAGCAAGGAGGCCAGAAACTCATATCCTTGCATTGGTCAGTCATGGTGGATACAGGCTACACCTGGAGAGGCGATGTGAATTTTTTGGTTTTTTTCTTTTGGTTTTTTTTTTGGGGGGGGGGGGTTTGGTGAGACTGCGTCCCTTGGTGGAGGGCGGACCCCAGAGAAGGACTCAGTTGTGAATCATCAGCAACCAACTCCAGAAGCTGAGGGAATGACTGTCTAGGCCCTGAGGGAGTGACTGGACCACAGCATCAGCTGTGTTGTGCTCTTGGAGGATCATTTAAACAAGCCTGAATTAATTCAATGAACTTTAACTGAGGAGTTTTCAGACACCATAGGTGCCTGGAAAACATTTCTTAAACGTAGACATAAAGATCCTAAGCAAATATTAGCAAACCAAATCCAGCAGTTTCTAAAAGGATTAACACATCATGATGAAGTAGGGTTTATCCCGGGAATGCAAGGTTGGTTTTGCATTCTAAAATCAAACAATATGATTTACCTTAAAAGAGAAAAGCCTTCATTGGAAGAAATAATAAAACAAAAATAATTAAGAAAAGAAAAGCTATGATTATACATACAGATAAATCTGTTGGCAAAAATAAACACCTCTTCTGACCAAAATACTCACCAAACTAGGAATAGAAGAGAAATTTTCCAGTTTGATGAAGCACTTAAATTAGGGTTTAGACAAGAGAAACCACATGTGTAATATTTTAATTAAATGTTTTATTTGAGAAAATTGGAGACTTAGGCAGTTGTAAGGAATAATACAGACAGATTATATGTACGCTTTACCCAGCTTCCCCCAATGGAAACACCTTGCAAAACTGTAGTACAATATCACAACCAGGATACTGACATTGATACAGTCAAGATGCAGAACATTTCCATCACCACAAGGTTCCCTCATATTGCTCTTTGTAGTTACACTGTTTCTTAATCCCTGGCAAACATCTGTATTGTATGGATGGAATCATATGGTATGCAACCTTTTAGAATTTTTTTTCACTCAGCATAATTCTCTGGAGACTCATCCAAGTGTTGCATGTATCAATAGTTTATTTCTTTTAATGAGTAGTAGTCCATAGTTTGAATGTATCACAATTTGTTTAGCCATTTACTCGCTGAAGAACACCTGGGTTGTTTCCAGTTTTAAGATATTCTGAGTAAAGGTACTGTAAACATTTGTGTACAGGTTTTTGTGGGAACATAAGTTTTCACTTCTCCAGAATAAATGCCCAGGAGTGCAGTTGCTGGGTTGCATGTTAGTTACATGTTTCTTTTTTTAAGAAGCTGCCAAAATGCTTTCCAGAGCAGTTATTCCATTTTACATACTCACTGCCAGTATGAATGATCCAGTTTCTCTGCATCCTCATTAGCATTAGCTTTTATTTTGGCCATTCTAATAGGTGTGTGGTAGTATCTTATTGTGATTTTAATTTGTGTTTCCCTATTGACTAATGATGTTAGACATCTTTTCATGTGCTTATTTTCCATGTGTATATTCCCTTCAGTGAAATGTCTGTTCATGTCTTTTGTCCATTTTCTAATTTTTTTGTGTGTTGTTGAGTTTTGAGATGTCTTTATATAGTCTAGATATTAGCCCTTTGTCAAATATGTTCATTGTAAATAGTTTCTCACAGTGTATGGTTTGTTATTTTCATCGTCTTAACAGTATCTTTTGAAAAGCAAAAGTTTGTCATTGTGATAAGGTCCAATTTATCCACCACTTCTTTTATTGATTATGCTTTTGGTTTAATAAAAAAAAAGCATCTGGTCCAGATAAGGACTCGGCCCAGCCTTAGATCCCGAAGACCTTCTGGTGTCTATTTTTTATAAGATTTTTTATTTTACATTTAAGCGTATGATACATTTTGAGTTAATTTTTAAAACAGGTGTAAAACTTTGGCAGTTGTTGCTGTTGTTCTTTTTTGTTTATTTGCATATGCATGTTACATTGCACCAACACCATTTGTTCAAAAGGCTATGTTTCCTCCATTGAATTGTTTTTATACCTTTTTCAAAACCAATTGGACATATTTGCATGATCCTGTTTCCGGTTTCTGTATTCTGTTGCATTGATCTATGTATTTATTCCTCTACCAATACAGGTTGAGCATCCTTAATCTAAAAATCTGAAATCTGAAATGCTCCAAAATCCTTAACTTTTTGAGTGCTGACATTGTGCCACAAGTGGAAAATTTCATACCTGATGTTATGTGAGTTGCAGTCAAAACACAGATGCACAACACACAGTTTACACAACATCCCCAATGAAAAAAAGACCCTCCCAGCTCATTTCTGCTGCAGTTTTTCTGCCCACACCTGGATTTCCCCATGCATCCCCACAAAGAGTAATTAAATGGCATGTGTGCAGGCTGGACACACTAACAACAGGTTTCCCACAATGCTCCACATCGGGACAAGACCTATGTGCATTACTCATTGCATTTTTTTGCATATTCTCTGCTGTGTGGTGTAAATATATTGTTGAAAATGTCAAAAAGATCTGAAGATAACCCTGTGAATATCAGTGATAAGAAAAAGAGGAAGCATTTATGTTTATCTATAGCACAGAAAGTCAAGTTGTTGGAAAAACTGGACAGTGGTGTAAGTGTGAAACATCTTACAGAAGAGTATGGTGTTGGAATGACCACTATATATGACCTGAAGAAACAGAAGGATAAACTGTTAAAGTTTTATGCCGAAAGTGATGAGCAGATATTAATGAAAAATAGAAAAACACTTCATAAAGCTAAAAACGAAGATCTTGATCGTGTATTGAAAGAGTGGATTCGTCAGCGTCGCAGTGAACACATGCCACTTAATGGTATGCTGATCATGAAACAAGCAAAGATCTATCACAATGAACTAAAAATTGAGGGGAACTGTGAATATTCAACAGGCTGGTTGCAGAAATTTAAGAAAAGACACGGCATTACATTTTTAAAGATTTGTGGTGATAAAGCATCGGCTTGTCATAAAGCAGCAAAGAAATTCACTGACAAGTTCAGTAATAATGACGAACAAGATGGTGACTTTGAAGGATTCCATATGTCAAATGAGAAAAAAATAATGTCTGACCTCCTAACGTATACAAAAAATATACATCCAGAGACTGTCAGCAAGCTGGGAGAAGAGGATATCAAAGATGTTTTTAACAGTAATAATGAGGCTCCAGTTGTTCATTCATTGTCCAATGGTGAAGTAACAAAAATGGTTCTGAATCAAGATGATCATGATGAAGATGATGGTGACACTGCAGAAAAAGTGCCTGTAGACGACATGGTAAAAATGTGTGATGGTCTAATTCAAGGACTAGAGCAGCATGCATTCATAACAGAACAAGAAATCATGTCACTTTATAAAATCAAAGAGAGACTTCTCAGACAAAAAGCATCATTAATGAAGCCGATGACTCTGAAAGAAACATTTAAAAAAACCATCCAACGGAATGCTTCCTCATCTCTACAGGACCCACTTCTTGGTCCCTCAGCTGCTTCTGATGCTGCTTCTCACCTAAAAATAAAATAAAATACAGTGTACAGTAACCTTTTAGTCAAAACACAGCATTCTACTTGGAAACTGAAAGCCTACTGTTATTCCTTGTTGCTGTTGCTTAACAGCTGTTACAGGTATTCTGGTGACACTACTGTGCTAACTCACTTAACTTGAATTCTTTTTATGTATTCAGGTTAAGTGAGTCAGCACAGTATTTTTGACATACTTGTATGTCATATTTTTTACTGTTAAGTACTTATGTGTGAATAAGTGTAAGAAAATGATTGTTTATTGGTAGCACATAAATTCAGAATCAGGAATGATGGTGATGCCAAACAATCACAGATCATCCACATGGGTGGCTGAGGTGTTAACACCTTTGCTTTCTGATAGTTCAGTGTACCCACACTTTGTGTCATGCTGAAATTATTAAAAATATTTTATAAAATTACCGTCAGTCTGTGTATAAAGTGTATATGAAACATAAATGAACTTTGTATTTAAACTTCGATCTTATCCTCAAGATATCTCATTGTGTATGTGTAAATATTTCAAACTAAAAAAAAATCTAAAATCTAAAACCTGAAACACTTCTGATCCCAAGTATTTCAGATAAGGAATATTCAACTTGTACTGCAGTCTTGATTGCTGTAACTATATAATCTTGAAATCAGGTAGCCTGATTTATCCCACTTTATTTTTTCATCAAAGTTGTTTTAGTTATTCTAGTTCCTTTGCCTTTCCGTACAAATTTTAGAATGATTTGTATGTCTAAAAAATATTGTTGGTCGATCTGGATTGGTGGCCATTAAAAAATGTTGTTGGGATTTTTATAGGAATTGCATTAAATTTTTATATCAACTCAGGGAGAATTGACAAATTTGCCTCACTGGGTCTTCCAGTCCATGAACACAGTATCTGACACCATTTATCTAGATCTCCTTTGACTTGTTTCACCAGTGCTTTGTAGCTTTCATTGTTTCATCAATGCTTTGTAGCATACAAATCCTGTGTGCTAGATTTATACCTAAGTATTTCACTCTTTTTTGAGTGATTGTAAATGATATTTAAAATTTCAGTGTCCATTGCAAGTATATAGAAATGCAGTTGATTCTTGTATATTTATCTTGGGTCCTACTTTTTTGCTAAACTCACTTGTTAGTCCTATAAGGTTTTTTGTTTTTTTTTTTTTTTTTTTTGGTGATTCTTTAGGATTTTTTGTGTAGACCATCATGTTACCTGCAAATTAGGACAGTTCCATTTTCTTCCTTTCTGATAGATATGCTTGTAATTTCCCTTTTTTGCCTTATAGCACTGACTAGAACTTCAGTACTATGTTGAATAAGAGTTAGTAATAGCAGACATCCTTGCCTTGTTTCCAGTTCTGGAGGGAAAACATTCAGTCTTTCACATTAAACATAATGTTAGTTATAGATTTTTGGTAGATGCTCTTTATCAAGCTGAGGAAGTTCTCGCTTTGTTCCTTTTTTTCTCAGAGCTTTTATCATGAATGGTGTTGAAATTTGAGAGAACTTTTTCTGTACTGATTGATAGAATCATGATTTTTCTTTAGCCCATTTATGTGTGCATTACATTGACTGATTTTTTGAATGTTGACTAGTCTTGCTTAGCTAGAATAAATTCCAGCTAAGCAAGAAATTCTTTTACTACATTGTTGCATTTGATTTGGGAATATTTTGTTGAGGATTTTTTGCATCTAAGTTTATGAGGGATATTGCCTGTAGTTTTCTTTCTTTTGTACTTCTTTGCTTGATTTGATAGAAGGGAAATACTAGCTTCATAAGATGAATTTTTAAATCTTCAACTTTTAAGTTTAGGGGTACATGTGCAGCATGTGTAGGTTTGCTACATAGGTAAGCTTGTGCCATGATAATTTGTTGCATAGATTATTCCATCACCTAGGTATTAAGCCCAGCATCCATTAGCTATTCTTCCTGATGTTCTCCCTTTCCCCGCCTGACCCTGACAGGCCCTGGTGTGTGTTGTTCCCCCACCATTTGTCCATGTGTTCTCATCATTCAGCACCCACGTACAAGTGAGAACATGTGGTATATGGTTTTCTGTTCCTGTGTTGGTTTGCTGAGGAAAATGGCTTCCAGCTCCATCCAAGTCCCTGAAAAGGACATGATTTTGTTCCTTTTGTTGCTGCATAGTACTCCATAGTGTACCACATTTTCTTTATCCAGTCTATCATTGATGGGCATTTGGATTGATTTCCATGTGTTTGCTATTGTGAATAGTGCAAATGAACATACATGTGCCTGTATCTTTATAATAGAATGATTCGTATTCCTTGGGGTGCATACCCAGTAATGGGATTGCTGGGTCAAATGGTATTTCTGCTTCCAGGTCTTTGAGGAATCACCATATTGTCTTCCACAATGGTTGAATTAATTTACACTCCCACCAGCAATATAAAAGTGTTTCTTTTTCTCTGCAACCTCGCTGGCTTCTGTTGCTTTTTGACTTTTTAATAATCACCATTCTGACTGGCATGAGATGGTGTCCCATTATGATTTTGATTTATATTTCTCTGATGATTGGTGATGTTGAGCTCCCCCCCCATTTATTTATTTATTTAAGAGGCAGGGTCTCATGTTGCCCAGGCTGGTCTTGAATGCCTGGCCTCAAGCTATGGGCATTTTAAAAGAATGTGTATTCTGCTCTTGTTGGATGTGGTATTCTATAAATGTTAAGTAGAATCAGTGGTTAATGATGTTGGTGAGTTATTCTGTATCCTTGCTGATTTTCTGTCTCATTGTTTTACTGATTGTCGAAAGAGGGGGGTTGAAGTCTCCAACTGTTGTTATGGATATATTTATTTCACCTTTGGATTCTATCAGTTTTTGCTTCACATATTTTGCATCTCAGTTGTTTGATATATACACATTTGTGATTGCTATGCCTTACTGGTGAACTGACCCTTTTATTATTATATAATGTCCTTCTCTGTCTCTAATATTTTCTTTGCCCTGAAGCTTACTTTATCTGATATTATTGTAGCCACTCTGCTTTCCCTTTGTTAGTTTTGCATGATATATCCCTTTTCACCTTCTTACTTTCAACTTGCCTTTATTATACAGTCACATGTGACATAATGATGCTTTGGTCAACAACAGACCACATATATGATGGTGGTGCCATGAGATAATAATAAAGCTGAAAAATTTCTGTTGTCTAGTGACAACCCAATGATCCTGGATGCTGTGTAGGCCTAAGCTAGTATGTGTATATCTTAGTTTTAACTAAAAAATGTTAAACATTTTTTAAAAATAAAATATTTAAAAATAGAAAAAAGCTTAAAGAATAAGGATATAAAGAAAGAAAATATTTTTATACAACTATACAATGTGTACTTTAGGCCATTATTATAAAAGAATCAAAAGTTTAAACATTTAAATGTATAAAGTAAAAATGTTACAGTAAGTTAAGGTTAACTTGTTTTTGAAGAAAGAAAAATACTGTAAAATAAAGGTAGTGTAACCAAAGTGTGCAATGTTTACATCTACAGTAGTGTACAATAATGTTTTAGGCCTTCACATTCACTCACTGTTCACTCACAGACTCACCCAGGACAGCTTCCAGTCCTGCAAGCTTCATTCATGGTAAGTGCCCTATGTACCACATTTTTAGTCTTCCTTTGCTATGTTTTGATATGTTTAGATACACAAATACTTACCATTGTTTTACAGTTGCCTACATTATTCAGTACAATAATGTACTGTATAGGTTTGTAGCCTAGAAGCAATAGGCTATAGCATATAGCCTAGGTGTGTAGTAGGCTTATGCCATCCAATTTTGTGTAAGTATGCTCTGTGATGTTCACACAGTGATGTAATTACCTAACAACTCATTCTTAGAGTGTGTCCCTGTCGTTAAACAGTGCATAACTGTATTTAAATTGAGGTTTTTGGGAGCCCCAGGTGGGAGGATTGCTTGAGGCTGGGAGTTTGAGAGTGGCCTGGACAGCAGAGTGAGAACTTGTCTCTACAAAAAAAGAAAACAAAAATTTGCTGGGTGTGGTGGTATGCACCTGTAGTACTAGCCACTTAGGAGGCAGAGGCAGGGAGGATTGCTTGAGCCCAGGAATTTGAGATTACAGTGAGCTGTGATCATACCACTGCACTGCAACCTGGGAAACAGCAAGACCCTGTCTCTTTATTATTGTTTTTATTTTGAGAAAAGGTCTTGCTCCATTGCTCAGGCTGGAGTGCAGAGGCACAATCTCGGCTCACTGCAACCTCTGCCTCCCAAGTTGAAGTGATTCTCATGCCTCAGCCACCTAAGTAGCTGGGATTACAAGTGTGTGCAACCAGGTTCAACTAATTTTGGTAGTTGGAGTAGAGATGGGGTTTTGTCATGTTGGCCAGGCTGGTCTTGAACTCCTGGCCTCATGTGATCCACCTACCTCAACCTCCCAGAGTGCTAGGATTACAGGTGTGAGCCATCGTGCGAGCCAAGACCCTGTCTCTTTGAAAAAATAAATAAATAGCGAGTATTTTATAAACAGCATATATTTGGATCACACTTTTTTCCTACTCTGCCAATCTGTCTTTTAATTGGTGTATTTTGACATTTAGATTTAATGTAATGTTGATATATTAAAGCTTAAGTCTTACCTTTTATTTTTTGTTACCTATTTGTTCTGTGTATTGTTTCTCTGTTTTCTTTTTCTGATTTTCTGTGCTCAGCATCACTAATCATCAAGGAAATGTAAATTCAAATGACAATGAAATGCCATCACATACTTACCTGAATGGTTGAAAGTTAGAAGACTGACAGCATCAAATGTTGGCAAGGTTTTGCTGCAACCAGAACTCTCATATATTTTTTATGGTACTGTAAGATGGCACAAACACTTTCAGAAATGGTCTGGCATTTCTTATAAAACTAAATATACACTGACCCTATAATTTAGTTTTAATCCTAGGAATTTACCCACAATAAATGAAAACATACCACAAAAGTGTTTGTTCAACAATGTTCACTGCAAATTTATTCCTAATACCCTAAACTAGAAACTGCTGAAGTATCTATAAATAAAATAATAGATATACTGTGGCATTTTCATGAAATAGAATACTACTCAGCAATTAAAATGTACAAATTACGACTTCCATAGTGTGTGGCTCACAACAGTCTCAAGCACTATGACTAAGCTAAGCGCTTTATGCATTTTATCTTATTTAATCCTTCTAGCATTGTGAGATAATCACTAATATTATTGCTAATTGCTTTTTGTTTATTTTCTTAACTTTTACTACCCTCTGAGGTAGTATCCTCACACAAACTGGTATACAGGAATGCAATTTAATTCTGATGCTAACCATCCAGTGTTGGCATTGGACTCCACAGGTTTAATGGCAAAATCCTCAGTAAAACTATTTTCACTAAAGATGCCAGCTGGATTTTGGGGGTTCCCTAGGCCACCTATGCTTCTGACCAACTGGCTGTAAATTCCAAGTTTCACAGGACCCCCTCAAGGCACAATAATTTTCTAGAGTGACTCACAGAACCCAGGAAGGCACTAATGATACAAATTAGGACCAGTTAAATGAAGATCCACAAGGCAGGAGTCTGGGAGGGTTCTGAATGGAGAGCATTCATGACCTCTCCCCAAGGCATCACCCTCCTGGCACATCGATGTGTTCACCAACTAGAAATCTCTACTGAGTTTTGTGTTCAGAGTTTTTATTGGGGTCTCAGTACATAGGCATGATTGATTGGATCTTTGGTCACATGACTGGATTCAGTCTTCAGTCCTCCTCCTCTCCTAGGAGTTTGGCCAAACTCTCTAATTACATTTTTGTTC